CTGCTCCCCAACCTAATCAGAAAAAACACCACCGTCCCTGTGCCCCGCTGCTCTGCCACCGCCCTTCACCACTAATAGCCTCACCCCTGGCCTTCCTTACCACAGACAGCCCATTCCTTTGCCTCCACGACCACCGTCAGCACCACCATAGGAGACAGAGAAGGTGGTTTGAGATTAGTCACTGGAGATTAAGGATGGGATTACTTTGGATATTAGGTAAGGTGTTCAAAGAAATGTTACTATTGTTGGGCTTCAAGGAAAGCAATGGTCCAAACCTATGTGATTTCAAAATTATATTCCCTATTTCTAAATCCAGTAGTTGTGAATTTATCTTGTGAACCTTCCTTCCAGGAGGGTTCAAATTCAGGGTCTTTAATTCTTTTACATTAGTATTTATTTATTCAAAATTAAATTAATAGTGTAGAACAGACTTTATTCCCAAATTATGTTAGAACGTGGTTAGTAACTCGCACCCAAAAAATAAATATTGCTAACCACATTTTTTATATAATGCGAAAAGGTAGTTCAGATAGTGGTATGTTTTAAGTAAAAAACGTGATTAACAATCACATTTTTTAAAAAGTATGATTGCTAATCATGTTTTACTGTAGTTTGAGAATATAGTTTGTCCATACACTATTTGTTTAATTTTGAATAAAAGAACTGTGAAAGGGTTGAAGGCCTTCAAATTCAGGTCTGTCTGGGTATCAATTTTACAGCGTCTATTGCCACAGTTAAGTTGTGAAGTTTCCTGTTAAACATAAAGCTTTGCATATGGTTCAGAATGTTAGATTTGAGAAACCTAAGTTTGAATGCAACTTACGAAGAATTATTGTTATAATTTCATATCAGCATTGGTGTCATGACTTGGATACTCGTGTTGATCTTTCTTTTTCCTTTTTTCGCTGTTAGACAGCGTATTTAGGAGTGACTGCTCCACAAAGGAGGTGTATGAGAAAGAAGCCAAGGACGTTGCTCTTTCAGTTATCAACTGTGAGTATTATTCCTCTTTGCTTCTCCATTTTTCCTGATATTGAATTTCACTTGAATTCCATTGACAATTTTCTTTATGTCAAATAATGGGCATAAATTTCAGCTACTGTTTTTCCATACAGACAAACAAGCAGTGGGAAGACATTCACGATGATGGGAATTACTGAGTATGCTGTAGCAGATATTTATTATTATATAGAGAAGGTAATTAAGAAACTACTAATATTCACTGTTTCTCAATACTTGATGTTCCTGCATTCTATTATAGTACTATGTCCCTTGGGCTTTCTCCTAAGAAGCACCAATACTTCTAAGAAGATGGTGTGTCCATGTCGGACACTGACACTCATTTGATACTTCCCAATGTGTGTTGAACCTGACACGCTTTGAATATTTGAAGGACACACATAGCCACCTCTTAGACATAGATGAAACACATTATAAGTTTGAAAGAAAAACAATATAGTTTTATGCCTATTAGCGAAACTTTAGGAATTAATGTTATGCTGCATTTTTTTAAATTATTATTTTTGATAAAATATTCATATATATAATAAATGACATATAAAAACATATAAAACTATATATTTTGCATGTGTCACACATGTGTTGTCTTGCTTTTTTGAAAATTTTCAGCGCCGGCGTGTATTTGTGTCATGTTGCATGTCTGTGCTTATGCTTCTTAGGCTTCACCTGTTTGTTGTTTACATGTTTGTTTTATTTGCAGCACAATGAAAGAGAATTTCTTTTGAAGTTCTCTGCTATGGAGATTTACAATGAATCTGTCAGGGACCTCCTCAGCATAGATATTACTCCACTTAGACTTCTAGATGATCCTGAGGTCAATTACTTTCTTGGTCGACTAAATAATTAGTATTTGATATTTTTCCATTATGCTTAATTCTTAGCTATTTCACAGAGAGAGACAGTTATTGAGAAACTCACAGAGGAACCTCTCAGCGACTGGAATCATGTAATGGGACTCCTCTCCATCTGCGACAATAAGATATTCTTTAGTCATCTGACTTTTACTAGATGATCGTGACCGCATATTCTAAATGTCTTGGTGCATTCATGAAGCTCATAGACAAATTAGGGGAAACTGCATTGAATGAAACAAGCTCCAGATCTCATCAAATAATCAGATTGGTAGGAATGTTGTTTTCTTGAATGATTGTTCTAAAAATAGCTTATTGTTCTTTCCATTCAATTGACTAATGGGTTTTGGTAGACAATTGAAAGTTCTGCTTGGCAATTTTTAGGCAAGGGCAACTTAAGCACCATTACAGCTGCTGTGGTATGGATCGTCAAGTGTTTGTTAGATTAATTTGGATGGTTATTAAGATGTTAATATATACCATGTTGAGCTATATTAATATTTTTTTGATACATTCTATGTAGAATTTTGTTGATCTTGAGGGAAGCGAGCGTACATCTCAGTCATTATCAGCTGGCACCAGGCTAAAAGTGGGTTGCCACATAAATCGTAGTTTACTGACCCTGGGAACTATTATCCGCAAGCTAAGGTTAGCTTGTTTTTCAATTTTTTTTAATCATTTTGATAATGAAACTAACTTGAAGTCATTGCTTGAAAAGCTACTGGTGTTATAGCCTATATGTATGAGAACTGAATTCTACACTTGATTATCCGATCCTTCAGATTTAGAAAGCTGTGGCAGAGCTTTAGAGCTCCAGCGGTGAAGTTTTAAGGTGTGGCATTGCTAAACTAGCACAGTTCAGCAAAAACACTCACTTTGACCATAATGCTAAAATAGCATAATGCTATTTCCTGTCCAAAACTCAGCAGAAGAAATAGCACAATGGTATTTTATACTACACTTTGACCATTTGGCTTTTTTGATAAAATTTACATCTATGCTATTCTATTATAAATTTGTGGGCAATTTGGGCTTAGCCAAGTTCAATTTATTGAGCTCGGGCCAGGCTCGGGCAGACAAGATCGGGTTGGAGGTTGGGTTTGGGCTGGTTTGGGCAACTCTCAACACAACTTGGGTTTGGCCTGAACAACCTCTCAACCTAACTAAACCTGCCCAAGTTGCACCCCTGAACAAAAGCAATATTATCAAAATCTGTAGAAGGTCTGCAAATAATAAAAACCAATAAAGTATATGCAATCCAATTCTGAGTTATTTATTTGTTTCGTCCTTTTCAAATTTCCGCACCAAATGCGAAAAAGTTAGTGACACCTTGATGAGTTCAATGGGCTAATGATCAGATTCGGAGCATTTAAACAAGCAGAAACTAATTTGATGAATAATATCAATATGATGGGAAAAATGAAGACCAAGTAAGTTCACTGAATGCATCACAATCTGTGAAGCAAGATTGTCAGTAGGATACCAATGCTCCATAGACTCCAATGTCCTGTCTAATCCACATTTACATCTAGAGGCTGACACTCCAACATTTGGCAACCACTAAGTTAAATGCAATGATGTAATGAAATAATTTCCACATGAATATATTTTAATAGGAATTTCCTTCCACAATTAGTTACAAAATGTACTATGTGGTGGAACCTTGAGAATAAATACCCTCATGAGCAGAGTCAATTAAGAATGCCCATCATTTGGACCAACTCAAAATAATCAGGTCTTCAGAAGATAGGAGATGTTCCACTAAATTTAAGTTCCATCATTCATGATCGTTTACTATGGTTCAACGCATGGTAAATTATGAACTTTTGTTGTCAATACTAGCACCATCTCCGAGCCAACTATCCTGAAGAAGTATACACGACATATATTAAGAAGGTATGTGGTATCTTCTGTGAAAGGTTTAGCTTCTAAAAAGCCTCCTCCAAATATGAGAATGAAAATGTATGGGGAGCGCAAGAATGAGGATGAATTCCATGACAATATTTAGCAATTAAGAAATTTGGCCACAGTCACATATTACATTGACGTTTTCTCCACAACTAGATGCTCAAAGCTAGCACATGGAAGGATTGTGAAAGTCCAAACCTCCCTCTGTAACAATAAGGGGTAAAGAGTCGATAATTCAATCCAATGGTACATAGGAAAAATCATTATCTAGTTGTCAAGGATTGCATTCATCTATGTTGTGAAACTATGAGTTGCCTTATTGCTTGGCAGCTTGAACAACAAAGAGAACTAAAACAAAGCTAAACACTCCTTGCACTGAACCATGGACTTTTTGCTTTTTTTTTTTCCTGTTGATGGTCTTAATAGGAGCAAGAGTCAAATGAATTGTTTTAAAGCAAAAAACCAAGGACTACTTGAATTGTCTTCATCAGATTAACTCAAACTTGATTCTGACTGTCATCATTTAGGCCATGATTTTCAAATTCGTTGACTGGTAATCACTTATATCAACCAGGTGCTAGTAATGGTTAGTTGTTTATTTTATTAAGACACTGCAGTTGTCAGGATCATACGCCTAATCACTTGGTTGTGCTGCTTTACTCTACATTCTCTCAGATTACTATCATCACTTTTGGCTAGTACACTCCTTTGGGTAATCATGATAATCTTATTACATCAAAGATTTGTTGTTGTGGTCTTTTTAAATCAACATAATGGTTAAATTCTCAAGAATTCTGTGCCTTTAATCCTTTTACCTGCCTTTTCTTTTTCTTATCTGCGTTTTTTTTTTTGGTTTGATTGTATGATGTTTCATCCTGAACATTACCATTTGTTGATTGCAAGTTTTGTTATTATTTGTGTTTTCCTATCATTGGGTGCAGCAAGGGAAGAAATGGGCAAGTTCCTTTAAGAGATTCTAAGCTAACTCGCATATTGCAATCCTCGTTGGGAGACAATGCTAGAACTGCCATCACCTGTACCATGGGCCCGCAAGAAGTCATGTTGAGCAATCAAGAAATACGCTATTGTTTGCAAGTTGTGCCAAAGAAGTAACAACTAACGCTCAAGTTAATGTAGTCATATCAGATAAAGCATTAGTAAACACTACAACAAAATCTGCCTATAACCACGTTTTTTAGACAACGTTTTTTTGAAAAACGCTGTAGAAGACATAAAGACACGCGTGTTCCACTTTATAACGGTGCTCCGTTTTCCCTCTGTCCCCATTTCACTTTCCGTCATTTTGTTTTCTCTCTCCATTTCTCTCTATCGTTTTCTCTCTCCATCCTAGATCTAGGGTTTTCTCTGTCTCCTCAGGCTCCTTGAGAGATTCACCAGGGTTGATTCCGATCATTTGCGCAGATCTAATTCTAAATCCATTGATTCTTGCATCGATTTGGTTGAAATTTCTTGATAGTTTTTTGTTTTTCTTATTCTGATTCTGATGATTTTGCAGAGGAAGATGGTTCGATTGAGTTGCACAAATCAGTGGGGTTACGAGACCGCGGAGTGAAGAAGGATGAAGATCATCGGGATTGAGACAGGGACTGGGACCGAGACCGAGACCGATCGAGTCGGAGCAAGAGAAATGATAGGTTTTTCTGCTCCAAGAAAAGCTGGAGCAGGTATGGATTAGACTGTTCTGAATCGCCTATTTTGTATTGAGAGATTGGTTAATTTTGCTAATCTTTTTTTGTAGTTTTAGCTTCGATGAAGAGGTCACATGGCGTTGGATGCGCTCTGCCTATTGAAGCTCCTCCTCAGGTCTGGTCCTCCCATCGCTACCGTCCCTCAAGTCCTCTCTCTCTCTGTAGTGGAGGACAGAGAATCGCGAGCTTTAGGTTTTCTTCAGATTCTACACAGCAATGGAGACTCCTGTGAAGTCCTTCAATCCAAACAAGCACTTAAAAGAACAGTAACAATTACAATTTCTTCAATTCCTCCATTCTTTCTCTATACATATCTCCTTCTTATACATATATGTGTGTGTGTGTGTGTATGTAATTGTTTCTTCTCTCTCATTGACTTGTTTGATGTTTATGTGATCAGATTTGTGAGCAATTTGATTGGATCTTCCATGCTTGAAGTCATTGCTCTTGCGACTGTTGTACCTGTGAGTTTTTTTATTTATTATTATTATTTTTTTCCCATTTAGAATTGACTAATTCAAAATATGTGAATTTTGTAAATGAGTAAATTTGGTGTCTCAGGCTCTGATTCTTCTGCGAGATTATTTCTGATCCGCTGACAAACAAGGTAAATCACACTGATGAATTCTTTGAATTTGGTAATTATTTCACATCTTTCTGTATGTTTGGAAAAATATTTTCAGATTAGTGGTAAACTTTACAAACACTTAACAAGTATAATCATAAACTTTTTTTCATGAATTTGTAATTAATTTTTTAAAATACCTCGACATGTGATTTCCCCTAATTTTTTGTACTATCTAATCTATTTCTTTTCAATAAGTTGGCATGCATTTAAGTTTGTGATGGGGAGGTGGTTAATTCTTAGGTTTTTATCAAGGATCAAAATTTTGTTTCAGAATGTTGTTTTGGTCTTGGAAAAGGAAACATTTTGGTAAATAAAGGATTTTTTTTTTTTCAAAAGAGGGACAAATTGAAAATTATTTTGAAAAAAGCTAAATAATGCTAATACATTCTCAATAATTAAATAATTGAACATAACACACAGCTATAGAAGAGAAGGCCTATGCAGTAAAAAATGCTGAAGATGGAGCAGCTGATCTGAAAAAGAGACTTGAACAACTTGATAAGAGCTTCAGATGACATTTTGCCCCTTTTGCTAGTCGTTCCAATTTAAAATGCAAAACTCAATTCTAATTATTTCTTAACAAATTCTTTGAGTTTGAATTTCTGTTGTTTTTAATTTTAAATTTTCCAGAGTTGACATTAGAAAGGAGAAAGTAAGCATTTCTAAGCTTCCCTAAGAATTACGAGACTTGCCATGAACTTTGAATCACTTAGCTGATATTGCAGAAATGCATGAGTAATATTTACAACCAGTTGTTCTGAGTGACTACTCAGCAAATGTTTGACATCTTAGTGGGCCTTGACCTTTTTGGCTTTTACAAATTGAGATTAGGGTTCTGATTGCTCCATCTAACTTATAGGAGCCCCCTTAATATATATATATATATACATAATTTATAGACAACATATGGGGTTGTCACACTTTTTATTCATTAGGTCAACTTCTTGTTGGTTGGGATCTGACTGTTGTCTCTAGGCCCATCAGTTTGTCATCACATTTGGATTTATTTGGTTAGTTAGCACAATTTATTTATTTATGCACACAGTTAGAATGCTTGCACTGGAACATGGTGGATGGTACCATTGTGTTTCATGTTGTATGCTTATGCTGCAAAAGTTTTGTTTTAAACATTGTCAATTCTAAACTTTGACATGTGCAGGGTATAAATTCAATAAGGGAATCTGCACAAGTCCAGTTTTGTTGTCACTAGTTTTGAAAAGGATTACTTCTGGTAATCTGACTTTCTAAATCAGCAACTAATATTTGCAGGGGTGGTGGTGGTGACTTGTGCACTCATTGTTTCAGTGCCTGGGAAAAAAAAAACTAAAAGTCAGATCTGTAAGATTTTCTTTTATTTTGTGCGCGCACACGCGCGCGCACAAACACACACACACACACACACACACACATATCTTGTAATAACTCGTATATGTTTGAATGTAGATTTGTTTGATTTTGTTTCATGGTGAGTGTTGATTTTGTTTCAGATCTGTTCGAATTCCGCTTAGTTATGAATTGATGATTTTGTTCATCAATTTCTAGTTTCACTTTTTAGTTTATTTGCAAATTTTATCTTATTAATGAAGTTGAATTTGTTCAGGTTTTGTTTCCATATTGAAATTTATTAGTTTGGTTTGCCTATATATTGCTTTGGATGAACTAGAGTTTATTATTGTCTCTCTTACTGATTGAATATGCACACACAGTCATAGGATTTTATTCCTTTTTCTACCTTTTTGTTCCTTTTTCCCCAAAATGATGTATGACCTTGACAGTGTTCTTATTATCAACACCAAGTTTGGAGTGGAATGTGCACCTGCAATTGTATTTTTGAAAAAAACATGGAATCAAACCTGTTGTGTACCATGGTATGTCACTCTATTTATTTTGTTTCCCCTATTATAAGGTGCTTTACGTTGGAAGATCAATGTGATTCATGAAATAGAGATAGTAATACTTACTGGGAATATATATTAAGTTTTTTGAGGGACTTTTTCTTAACCAATTAGCGTTTTGATAAAAAAGAACAATATTTTAGTCAAGTTGGTGTGATCAAGAGAAAGGTGGTCTCTGTTTTGTAGTTTGTTTTTTGTCTACTGTTTTTGGAAGTGTTTTGGTTTGGGTCTGTCATGGTTTGAAGCTTCATTTTGAGGTTTTGTTTTGGAATGTTTCTGGAAACCCAAACAGTTTTGGGGTTACACTTGGGGACATGTTAAAACATTAGAAGCGTTTTTTGGTGCAAATAAAGCTGAGTAAAAATATTGACCAGGAGTATTACGGCAGATATGTTAAAACATTAGAAACATAAAACCGAGCTTTTTTTTTTTTTTTTTTTTACCTTCACTCATTCCCCATTGTGGTTGTGTTGATGATTGATCAAATTCTTATAGGAGCTTTTCTTTATTCAAGAACTGCTGTCCATTTTTCTTGCTTTTCTCCCACTTTTGCAGGTACCTACTATTTGGGACTTTCACTGAGGATGAAACTAGGTCATGGTTCAAGACTGAGAAGCATGTGGAAAAAAAAGAATTGGAAGTTGGTTCTTCAAATTTTGTGACTGGATTATCTTTTGGGTGGCAATCTGGATTTAATGTTACCTTGCGCTGACATATATTTGGTGATTTTTTTTTTTTTAATTTTTGGATTGAAGAGTACATATATTTTGTATAGTAAAAATCTCATGAAATGTGCAATTATATTGGATATATAAAATTGTGATTAGCTTAATGTATGGTTGGCATATGGATATGTAAATTTGAGCCATCTATGTTTTTAGTTAAATTCTCAAGCTGTAACCTTAGTTTTTTATTTTTTATTTTTGGGAGGAATTAATTTCTTTGGTTTATATTCTGTTCTCTTCCCACCCCACCACGCGCACACCCACCAAAAAAAAATAAATAAATAAAATAAAGTGGCGTTTTTGAAAAAATGCCACTAAATGACGTCATATATTTGTGACAGAAAGGGAACGGACGTTAAATATTTTGTGGCGTTTTAAAAAACGCCGTCTAATATTTTTAGCGACGTTTTTTAAACGTTGTAAAGTTATTGCGGCGGCTGCATCAGCGACGAAAATATTAAACGCCGCTGTAAGTTTTTACGGCGTTTTTCAGGCTTTTAGCGGCGTTTTAAAAACGACTCTAAAACTCAAATTTCCTGTAGTGAAAGCATCTGCAGAGATAATTAGCTAGGTTGGAGAATGAACTGAGAAGTCAAGGGCCCACCTTTGTTGCGTCACATTATTCGGCATTGCTGAGAGAGAAAGGCCTTCAGATTGAAAAGGTAATGATTGGGCTTTCATTGTCAAATTGCAATACCTCTTCAATAATAATATTAAACAGTTCATAAATTTCCGTGTAATCGTTGCATGAGGAATACAAATTTCAAGACTCTTAAAACCACAATGTGGTACTTCTGAATCTTAAATTAAATTATAGGGAAAATTTCACTTCCCCTTGTGGTTTGGCCTATGTGCACATAATCCATTATCATTTGGAAATAAGCACATAACCTCCTCTAGTTTGTGGACTAAAAAACCCTTGCACATAAGTAACTTGACCATGCAAACCACAAACATTTTTGTCATTTTTTTGGGAGACAATTTACTTTAACCTTCTTTGTTTTAGTCCATGTGCAATTTATCCCGCTGACATTTAGAAATGAGCGCATAACCCCTTTATGTCCTGGCATGTGTTTCACACTTATTAACTTGGACATAATGCCTGATGGTGCACTTCAGTTCACAAACTACAAGGGAATTATGTGATTATTTCCAAGTGATAGGGGGTAATCCGCACATAGGTTAAACCACATTGGAGGGTAGAGTGAAATTTTCCCTAAATTATGTCACATGATCACATCCACTAGAGTGAGTTAGTTTGGGAACCATAAGTGTAATCTTTGCTGTCAAACCCTTATTTCTATGTGCATCCTTCTCCATCATTTATAATTAATTCCATTTTTTCTTTTAGGTTGCATAACTTCCATTCCATTTCACTGTCTGTTTGTCATGGTATATTTCTCGTTCTGCACGGAACATGCAAAAAGAATATTGTTGGTCTATTTGCTCATTTCTAATCTTTATTCCTTGTCTTGCTTCTAATCCTTTGACAATGCCATTTCAATTTTGGTTGGATTTTTAGGACTTTTGTGATCTAAAAGCAGAATGATTTTGTAACTCTTGGATTATTACAAGAGAGGACCAGTTGAAATGTCAACAAAATCCCAACTCAAGAACAATACCAATTTGAAAATATGAGATTTGTTAATGAACCGTTTAGTTTAATAACATGGCAAGGATGCGGTTTAGATACTTCATTTGACTTTTACTTCACTAAGGGATATCTTTAACAACTTAACCTAACAGAAAATGGTAACTAATTTGGTGTACCATCGTTGACCAGGTCAAGATTCCCTACAATGAATTCTGGACTTCTTGTAGTAATCCAATGGCCTATGTTTAAAGTTAAGCAAAACTATGTCGTTTTAGGATGTATGTTTTTAATGTCATTTTTCTTCAGTTTTAACTCAAATTGTCAAATTATGTACTTTGCTAATGTGTCTTGATTTGATAAAAAAACACAAGAAGATCATTGCAGAAGGAAGAAGTAGGCTTAAAAAGTCCAAAGAACCATGGCATTACATATGGAAATCCTTCTAATGCCCGCTTATTTGACTTTTTGATAGCTGTAGGCTTAAAAAGTTCAATTTCAAATGACATTTTTGGGGGAAAGTTAAGAGTGCACCTTGAGCTACTAACATTTGAAGTATGATTCACGAACATGCTGCAAATTTTTCCATCCATTCAAGAAGCAGCATTTGTCTTATGGGCTCATGCGTTGAATGCCTTTATCTTTTTATTTATATACTTTTGCTACTTGTGTAGCTGGAGAAGGAGATGATAGATCTGACTGTTCAACGAGACTTAGCTCGATCTCAGGTTTAGGATTTGCTACAACTTGTTGGGGATGAGGAACATTCAATGACACGGGTAACTATAGTTAAATTGTTATACCGAAGCATCCATTCCATCTAGGTGTGCCTTGTTTAGTTGAGTTTATTTATTTTTTCCTTTTGTACTTCTCCAGGTAGGTTTTAATAACTACCCACACTTGCAATTTCGGAAGTCACCGGAATGTGAAAATCCAGTACCAGATGCATCCCCTTTGGCAAGTCCTCACTCCTTGGACATTGGTGTTAGATCAGTCAACAGATATCTTTATTCTTATGGAAATAGTGGGAGAAGCTCTGATGATCACTGCATACAAATTCTTCCTGAATTTGAAGAGAACTTTGTGCCAAAGGATACTTCTCCACAACTGTTGGCCAGTGCTTCTATGTTTATCCGAAGCAATTCTGGACAGAGTTGGGACATGATTGGAAAAAAAACCAAATCAGTGTGTTTGGTTTCAGTTTTCTAAATTTAGTTTTTTTAAAACAGAGTTTTTTGTTTTTCATGTTTTTTTATTTTTTTATTTTTAGTGAATATTTTTAAAATTTTAAGTATTTTTTTAACTTTTTTAGATGCACTTTATTTAGATGTATCAAAAAAATTAAATATTTGTAAAAAAAGTATTTTTTAAAATTAATAAATACACAAAAATACGAAAAATATACTGAATTTTTGTATATATATATTTTTTTGGTATTTAGTATTTTTTGTAAAGATTTTTTTTACAAAAATTATACTTTTTAAGTGTATTTGTGTTAGGTGTGTCTAAAAATTAAAAAAATTTCTTAAAATATTAAAA